CGTCCAAATAAATGCGATAAATGGTCAGATAGTGGCCCAACACCTGGGAATTGGATTTGAGACACGAGTCGACGGTCGTGGCGATGGAACTGGAGCTGAATGGGATCGATATGACCGTCGTTTCGGCCGATAATATCTTAGCCCCTATTGTGCCGAAAATTATGGTAATTATCGTTAGTTTTATGGTATTTGGTGTCAACATTCAAATAAAACAGAGTTCAACACATTATCCATACAATCATACAATTATTGAATAATAATAAATACTTTCAAGTTTTTAACATTTTGTATTTTGTGGTCAAAGATTCATATAATTAATTTACATTTGAAATTATTTGAAACGTGTATTATATCCATACTTTTTCCCTATAAATATGATATAATGATTGATATGCGATCATAATTGTTAATGTGTAAGCAATCAAAAAATCTAAGTCAAACATGTTTACGTTTAACCTTGATATTTGGCAATATTTAGTCATAAATGTGAGTGGTAATTTCGCTGCGAAGTTCTCAATGTAATCACCTAATCATNTCATAATTGTTAATGTGTAAGCAATCAAAAAATCTAAGTCAAACATGTTTACGTTTAACCTTGATATTTGGCAATATTTAGTCATAAATGTGAGTGGTAATTTCGCTGCGAAGTTCTCAATGTAATCACCTAATCATTAATTTTGTATTAAATTAAACTAATTTACAAGCTACAAATTATAGCGTGCGTATAATAAATATATTGTATTTGTTAACCCAAAAGTCTACATTAGAAAAAATGCACTTTCTTAAATATATTTGGCTTTCAAACAAACACTGATTTATTAAGTAGTTTCTAATAAAACAATTACGGGAGTGTTGGGAATGCAATCATAAAATTATAAATTCATATAAGCATTAATTTAATTAACAAAGTTTCCTATGATATTTGGTTATATAATAGCTGTTTGTATTGCTTAATATTGTATGAATAGTAATAAATGATACAATTCAATAAAATCTCATACCAGTAGCCATAAGCCAGGCCTCAATTTTGCGTTTACTTGTACTGACGGTCTCATAGTCGGGTGCGTTTGTATTGAGTGCATTGGCGAGTTTGGTTGGCACAAAGATTTTGCTATGAATTTAAAATGCATTAATATGATATCTTATAAAATAGGCACACAATTTAATTAAAATATCAATTTTGAAGCGAAACAACAAAATCATAATAAATCAATTATAGTTAAACAGTTGTTATGAGAAAAGATCTCAACTATTGTATAATAAATACTTTTTTGTTGTTTATTATATAAGTTTTATACTACTTATGAATGAGAGAGATGTTTGCACTTTTCATGGCGAGAGAGAGAGAGAGAGAGAGAGAGAGAGAGATTTGTCGTGAGATTTAATAGCAAAGAGTTATACGAAGAAAACAAAACCGTTTGGGAAGAAAGAAATGATTGATTGAGACGGATATATGTGAGTGAAAAGAGTCGCACAGAAATCGTAAAAATTAATTGTTTTGTATTCATAATAAATATTTAAAACAAAAACCAAAACCAAAAACACAATAGTAATCGTGAAGTGAAACGATAGTACGATTCATGTCCTTATGAGACAAAAGTGGTGGCGATTTGTATGAACAACAATCATATATAATGGCAAACAGTCCTCCCATTCATCTCTTTACATAATCACTTAATTTGAGAAATAGACTCCAGTTTTATGACTTATAAATCACATCCATGTATAAGCCATTAGTATTTCATACCAGTTTAATATCACAGAATCGCGGTTCGGAGGGAAGTGTGACTCGGGACAGGCCTCCTGAGGTCGGGCCACTGCCAGCCGTAAAAACTTCAGCGAGAATTCATTGGTCAGGAGGGGATTGACTTTGTCGGGCGTCGAGGGGCCGGTAGTGGCGCCGGTGGCGGACGTGGAGTTGTTTTTTGAGTAAAACATTTTTCGACTATCAATACTACTTTGATTTGAATTCAGGTTCTCTTTAATGGATTCCGCGTTAACTGTCGACACATTTATTGCAAATATATTTAAATTATTATTCAATTTGTATTAGTCTTTAATGGGAAAACTTTTATCATTAATGGATATAGTATTTTTGGAAAAGTAAATGAGATTTTCATATGATCCAGGTGGTCTTACATGCGTAATCAATGGGTGCATCGACTGTAGTGCACGATAGGAACCTGAGACCAGGCGCCTGATCCCGGAGCCAATCCGATGAGCGTTTTAATAAACTTAATAAATCATATAAATTATAATCAAACAAAAGCTAAAATTAAAATTAATAAGTAGCAACTGTTTACAGTAATAAATTACAATGAAATTAAAATGCAAATTATAAAAAACTAAAAGTGTTACAAAAAAATATAATTGCTTTTAATTGATTGCAAAAAATTAATAATAAAAGCAATTATATTTAATTTATGTCGGGCAGTAGATACAGGTATATTTTGTTTATTATTTATATTTTTATCTCATTTATTACACGAATTTACAATTCATTTCGTTTCACCGCAAACTAATCGATCAAAAACAATGAAAACGAAACGAAAAAAATTTCAGTAGATACAGGTATATTTTGTTTATTATTTATATTTTTATCTCATTTATTACACGAATTTACAATTCATTTCGTTTCACCGCAAACTAATCGATCAAAAACAATGAAAACGAAACGAAAAAAATTAAATTTAAAACATAACAAAAATCTAATAAATTATTAAACACTTCAACACAAGAAATAATGAGAAAACAAGAAATAAAATTACAACATAAAAGTCATATAAAGCGAGTGATAGGGGGATACATACCTGGAAAAGGACTCGTATATGGGCACAGCTAACGGCGCGTCCCATATCTGGACTCTGGGTATGAAATCAATAATTTCCAACTGTTCCCTGGTCGTATTTCCGTATTCAAAATATATCCGCAATATGAAGACCATGTTGTTATTTTTCTGGTGCTCATCGGACCAGTAGGACTGCTCCGTGTCCACCGACCAGTTGTTACACTCGACAGGTATGGGCACCGTTTCCACGCTTAATACTCGGCCTCATAAATAAAAGTATAATTTTATTTATTTTATTATATTTTTATTTTTTTAAATAAAATTATTTAAATCACTTTCATGTTAATTGATTATCGCGTATAAATGTACATGGGGTTTATATTGTGAGTGACATGTTTGACATTTTTACGCAGTGTTAACTCTAGACTTAATAAACTTTGAAATATTTCGTGAATATTTATTACATTAGACTTGAATTTAATATAATAAGGGGTTTAAAAAATAAAATTTTAATCAAAACTTTTTTATGTTGGACTAAAAAAATCTCTTCCAGTCTTTGAAAATTGACATTTTTATTGATATTTGAAAATTCTTTTCATATTATTTTTTGCTCTCATTTCTGTACTGATAGTA